GTTTTATAAAGGTCATGTTTCACAGAAGTTACTTCAGAAACATTGTAGAGAAAATTAATTTTGTGCTTACACGAAGCTGTATTACCTGAGTTCACCTGTACCAGACATCATATGGATTATGGTATTTCTATGGAATAATTCCTTGAGTTAATAAAACTGCTTAGCAGTTTTGATTGGTGCTGTATTTACACTCAATCAAAACTGAATTCTGTTTGAAATTGACATTTTTCTCTGGGTTTTGTACTTTGTGAATGTTTGAGGAAACTTTGTTCAGCTTTTTTCAATATGTGTGACTCTGACTTTCCCATTACCACACCCTCCAAATGCAGATTATTTGAAATAGCACAGTGTTGAATCCTGGTATGTTAATAATACAGCACACTGAACAGATCTGTCAGTTTTTGAAAAACAGTTTGCAATGTTAAAATGGATATATGTTGCAAGATAAAGCATTGCTGCAGTCTCTTCCCTTCTTTCGAGACATACGACACGTTCATATTTGTTGATTTTTCTCTAGCATGTACATACCTTACATTGTTTTCTAATAGCATCTGAACCTTCCTTCTGTGCAATAGAAGCACCTTCTGTATCCTTTCTATAACAGTGGGAGATTCCAGTGAACTAGTTTTAGCTTTGTGAGAAACCATTATTCACTTTCCACAGTTAAACTCTCTAATAATGGCTCAAATCCATTGAACTACATCTGATTGACAGATAGGGAAATGCTGTAGCTCTTCTTTCTAAATCTGAATGAAGATACTTAGTTCTCAGGCATATGAGGTAAGAAGGACCATGGACTCAATGCCTTCAAGTTCATCTGTTTGACTGACTCTCATTTTGTGAACTCATTATGCAAATCCACCACTTAATTAAAATATGCTTGTACATGCTGACAGTGAGTCTTCAGAGGAATGTATATTTTACATTTGAGGATTGTGTGGTTTTTTAATTTTCATTATTTAATTTTCTCTTTAAATAAATTGGTTTCAAATTGAAACAGCCTTTTTTGCAATATTTTTTCCTGGTGTGACTACACAATGCTTATAAAATGCCACCTTGCATGGTAACATGTCATATCTTTATTATCCTATAAGTAATATACATTCTAATGCTTAAAGGACTTTCATCCCATTGGAATAGCTAATATTCCAGAAAAGATAATCCTTTTTCAAGTTACGCATGTAATACCTGAAAACAGAGGTTTCTGCCAGCTATAAAACTGGAAGAACTTTTAATGTTGCAGTTCCTGACTTCAAAAAAAACAAACCAGTTTCAACTTTGGAACTGTAACAGTGAATTAGTATCATTTAGGCAATTGAATCAATGTGGATTTTAAAACTGTTGTGATAGATGTCATAAAGGCCATGTGCCAGTACATTTTTTTGGCATTTTCACCTTGTTGAGTTTACGGAAGATCTCAGGACAAGTTGAACAGACAGAGGAAAAAGGCATGTTTTTTCTTTTTCCTGTTAGTTCACAGAAGCTGATGAAGATGATTGGGATATATCATCGATAGAGGAAGACATTTTATTGATGAAAGATGATAGAGGTCAGAAGGCACTGACAGTTCAGAAAAATGAGTCCAGTGCTGCATCAGTGGTACATGCATGGGGTCTTCCGAAGAAAAGTGTACCAAAGGAGGAAGGTAACATATTCATACTAAGCCTTAAGTGACCGACACACCTAGAGGAGAATTTAAGTACAGTGTATTACACGTTGTAATTCAGTAGATGGTGTTTTGTAAGAAATGAACAAGTAAGAAAAACTGTGTGCTTGGTTTTATGACATCTAAATGTCATATATTTATGATACTTAGTTATATGTAAACCACACACATGAATATACAGAGATGCCAAGAAATTTGAGATTTTAAAGCATATAGTATTATCAGACTTCAACCTTATATTAAAAAGTAATAATCCAGGATTTTTTTGTTCTTCACAAATTTAAGGGAGGAGGGCAACTTTCTTATTTTGTCTTGAGAATAATAATAACAAAATTTCAGGTTTGTTCAAGGTGTCTAAGTGACCTACCAGGCTGAGATTAATATTTGAACTACTGCTATAGTAAAAGCCTGAATCTTACAAAGAACTTATATAGTAGTTTCTAACTCTAACATTTCAATATATGTAAAGCTGTGTCAGTTACATAAAGAGGCTCAGGGTTATTTTTGAAGGGAAAGTAATGTTGACACTACCTGCTTTTACTGTGCATTGTATTCTTTGACCGAAACAGCCTTCATTTTATCAACATTTGTCATTTCCTCACTGGTTGAAATTTGGGACTTCCTGAAGTCCATGGGTGTTTGCTCACATAGCATGTCATTTTATCTCTCAGATAAATACAAAGCAAAAATACCCCAAAAGAGTATTAATAATTATTAATTTTTAAAATTAACAATTGTTAATTTTTTTATCTGTTTGTTTTAACAGGCCTTCATGAAGCTGATAATACAAGCACGTTAAAAAGCAGCTTAGTGACTGTAACAGACTGGAGTGATTCTTCAGATATATAAGTGTTCCATTCCTGATGGGAGGCCCTACTTTTGGGTTCTGCTGGGGTTGAAAATGCAGTTGAAAACATCAAGTGTTTCCTATTAATTTCTCTCATGGGTCATGTAATAACAAGGAATACTGTTTACAGAGCTCTCCCGTCTTTCAGTCTGAATCTGAAAAAGAATACTGAAATATACTGGCCATGTCTATTTGGAAATTGAGAGTAATTCTTCTTTCTCACTGTGGTGGTTCAACCCCAGCCAGCGGCCAAGCTCCAGCAGCCACTCGCTCGCTCTCCCACCAGTGGCACCAGGGAGAGAGCTGGAAGAGTAAAATTGAGAGAACTCATGGGCTGAGATAAAGACAGTTTAACAGGAAAAGCAAAAGCTATGCACACAAGCAAAGCAAAACAAGGAATTAATTCACGTCTTCCCACGGACAGGCACGTGTTCAGCCATCTCTAGGAGGGCAGGGCCCCATCACACATAGTGGTGACTTGGGAACACAAACGCCATCACTCCAAATGTCCTCCCTCTTCCTCCTCCTTCCCCCCACTTTATATACTGAGTGTGATGTCATATGGTATGGAATATTCCTTTGGTCAGTTGGGGTCACCTGTCCCAACCATGTTTCCTCCCAACCTCCCATGCACCCCCAACTTCCTTTCCAGCGTGGCAGTATGAGAAACAGAAAAGGCCTTGGTTCTGTGTGAGCTCTGCTTGGCAATAACAAAAACATCTCTGTATTATCAACACTGTGTCCAGCACAAATCCAAGACAAAGTCCTATACTAGCCACGGTAAGGAAAATTAACTCTACCCAAGCCAAAACCAGCACACTCATGAATTCAGTGGTGGAAGTCTCTTTCATTTCACTGAGGTGAAGATTTTGCCTCTAATGTTTACATTAAAGATTGAAACTTGTCTTGCTAGAAAGCCTGTTAGCCAATGAACAGAATATACTGCAGAATATTACTTTATACAATTTTTAATGCATATTTTCATGTATTTTATCATAAACTTTATATAAAATTGTGAACATTTTAAAGAAAATGTGTCCATGTATTAAACATTTAAGTTTCTACCATGGTTTACAATAAACACCAAATGAAAAGAAAAAAACCTCAGCTATAAAGCTAATTATTATTAAATGCCTTCTATTTGGGAAGTTGGTTTACTTGGGGTTTTTTGTATTGAAGTTGAGTCTTTGTGAACATAAAAGCACAGAAATTGGAAAAAAAATTAAAATGTCAAGTTGCAGTGAGAAAATCACTGACCTGCCATTGCAGAAGTACTTTGGTATTTCTGTTTTGTCCATACTGGCTGCCTTCTTAAAAAAACACAGTAGTGTTTCAACTTAAACAAAGTACAAAAATAAAGTAAAAAGAACCTTGAATGACTTTGCGGTTCTGGTGTAATTTAGATGGTGTCTAAAAAAATACAAAACCTTTTCTGTCATAGTGTCATTATTAATTAGGACTGTTCATTTTTTTATATTTACACTGTTGTCCCAAAATAACCAATTTTTATTGAAACTCCAAAGGTCCATCTGTTCAAACCTCATAGCAAACCTGAGTTTGTGTCTGATTTTAGGGATTGAGTCTAGAAAGCATTGTGTGGTTAATCTCTCTTTTCATTTATTGACTTGTGCAAATATTCCTTCGAAAGTCATCACATTTCTGTGGTCAGACAAAAAAAATACTACCTGAATTTTTGAACTGTTGTAACTCAGTCGGGATTATCTAAAATTGTGCTGTTTAGTATTGCCTGCTTTTATTTGGTCATGCCTTCAGGCATGCCACTGGCAGAGCAGACAGCTGGCATTGCTTGGGGTTTTCCTTCTCTTTTGTAACCCAGTGGCTTCAAGCCATTCTAGAGCCAAAGGTGTCAAGCAGGAGGGAATGAAGACAACCCCCTGGAAGTGTCTTGTCACGAGCAGGGCTGAGTGCTGAAGCAGGGCAGGAGCCCAGTGGTACAAAGCAAATGCAGAACAAAGGAGCTGTCTCTGAGCCTTGCTGTGCCCTCCTCCCCGCCCCCCTCCACTCCCGCAGGCTGCAGCCTCACCCAACCTCTGCTCTCCTGCCATGTGCACAGAAGGCTGGTGGTCACACGTGGGCAAGTTCTGTATAGGCCGGGCAAGACCCTCACCAGCAATGGGTTTTGTTAACAACTGGCCCAGACTACTATCAGTACCTACTCCGGCTTACCCAAATCCCACACTTGTTTGCAACCCATTCCTTCTTATTCCTGTGGCCAAGCTGCACGCTCTTCCACCCTGTGAATACAGAGACGAACTTTCCCACTCCCACCTGTCTCGGTGCTGCAGTTACAATGCACTCTGCAATTCTGTCACCACTAAGTGGTGAAATATTCTGCCTATTAACCAGTACAGATGTACAGATTAGGGTTGTTTTGTCCAGCACTGAACCCAAGTCAGAGATTATTGCAATATCTCAATATGATATGTGTGATGCCATCCCCACAGGCAATTGACATGACAAACTGAATTAGTAAATACCTCATTTATTTTTTTTCAAGAATGCAACATCAGGTCGTGATTTCCAGGTATAAACTTTACAATACCAACATCAATCTGAAAATATTACATAATAAAATTTACATCAGTATGTAAAAAGCTGCAAGTTAATATTTTTAAAAGTCATTGTCTTAGTGGTAAGTACATTGAAGTTGGGAATGGGGGGGAATCACTCTGAATGAAACGTACAAAATCATTTTTAAAATGCTTTGAGTCTTCCAACAGTGCAACTAAACATAAGCGTTCTTGTCAAAGTGCTTTGGTGGGGTTTTGTCTGGGACACTGTTGTGGACCTTTGTACGAGAAGATATCACAGATGTGGCTCCATTATACGCATATCCTCTCCTGAAAAGAAAATACAAGTATTTACAGCTCATCCCACAGACAGGTAAGGTCTTTGCATCCAGGCATTATAGTAATAAAGCTAGAAGAAATGCAGAGGAAACTACCAACAAATTTCAGGGGAGGGGGCACATTCCTTCTCTGTGTGGTTCCATTCTAGTTTGACATTGCAATTCACTTTTATATAAACACATATCCCTTGTTTGCAGCTACGTAAATTAGGGCAGAATCGTGAAATACTTGGGCTGTGGCAGATCCTAGGTGAACAGTTCCTCCCTCCAGCTGTGCCTCTTCATTATTACTCCTTTTCTGCTGCTGGAGGTCCCACTGCCACCACTGCTGTCCTTCACCTCTTTCGCTTTTGATCTGATGATTTGGGATTAAAGAAACTTGTCTATTCACACCTGTAAAGTGACCGAACCACTTTTCCTACATCAGTGAATGCACTGTTTTCCAGTGGTAGTAAATTTATGCAGAATATATAACATGAGTATTTGCTCTGAGTCAATAGCTTTTCTTAATTAAATTATCCTTCAATCCCCTTATTTTCTTTTATCCACACAATCTCTTTCTGAATCTCACTATAAAATGTTTTGGAACAGTAATCAAACCACATACATACAGGGGGTACAAATGCACTGGTATTGATTTCTTTCAGTATGTACAACTTGTGTTTTACCTTGGAGAATTACTGTTTTCAGCTATTGAGAAGCAGAATATACTGCCACCAATTATGCAGAGTGAAGCTCCAGCCCATCCAATGAACAAAGCTGCTCCTAATTCATACCTACAGGAAGTCAATAAATGTGTTTAACAAAAGAGAGCATGGATTTAACAGATTTTTTTCAGGATAACTGAATTTTATATTTTTCTTCAATAACTTTCTATTGACACATACATTATTCATCACAAAATCAGCAGCTCTGCCATTCCCCCACGTTCTTTTCATTATTTCCCTCTGACACGGGAGGCAAACTCTGTCCCTGCAGTACACTTGAGCAATGCTTATCTCCCTGTACAGCCAGCTGGGGAGCCTGGCCTTTCTGCATCTCCTCCTGGATCGCTTTGCTGTGGAGTTTCATCATTCTTTGGCCTGTTTAGAGCAGCTCCTGTCCCCTTGGAGCATTTGGTTCCTGTTGGGTCCCAAACTGGCTTCTGCTGAGTCAGAGACTAGAACTTCTGCCTACAACTCTCCCTAAGTTTCCCCTCTGTCTCTCAGGATCTCTCTGTCTCCCTCCCTATCCCTCCTGCTTAAAACACGAAGGGGGTTGTACATATATATTATATGCATATGCAATTACATCTACATATCTGCAAAATATGCATATACGTATGCAGATGTAAGCATATGATAACATGAGCATATGCATACGTGGGTGCGTGTTCCAGAAACCTTCTGCGTCTCTCATCACTGTGGCTGGATTCTGTCTGGAAGACACTGCTTCCCCCCAAACCCATGGACAGAGCTCCAGGTGACCAGCAATGGTCCCCTCTGCTGCCCGGGCCAGCCACAACCTGTTTGCGGCCAGAAACTGCTTAGTTTGACTCCAAAAGGAGATGGTGGTGCTTTAGGAGTCCACGTTTCTAAAACAACAGTAGTAAATGAAGGAAAAGAAGGACATGGGGATAAGATTCTTGTCTTCCCCCTCAGCCCTGGAGCTTCAAGACGAGCAGCAACCCATGGCTGCCACCTCGTCTTCTCCATTCTCCAGTTCTTTGCCTGAGGTACCACTCTTTAAAACACTTTTAGGATGACCTGCATTAGGCTGCAGGCCCAACAGTCTTCAGAGTCTCCTATTCCTCACTATTAGAACAGACTGTGTGTCTCTTGCTCCCTCTCTGCTCCCGTTGCCCCTTGAGGAGACCTTTATCTCCTCCTGATTCCTGGGATCCCGCACTGAAAACACAGGCCCCTGTTCCCCATCGAGCCGTGGTTATTGGCCAGGTGCTTGTGCTGTTCAGGCCTTTGTTACTAAATTTTTTTTATTTATTGAGCTGTGGTGAGGCAGCCGAATAAAAGCTTCTGCTTGACAGTCTACTGTACATCTGAAAGACTTGTGTAGTTGCACTTTTCAGCTAGTTCTGAACTAGTGCACAGACCCTAATTTTACATTACTGGAATATTTAACTGAAAATACCTGTCAGTTGTCCTACAAAACTTCTATCTTTACAAAGATGGCACTGCAGAAACACTCAAAAATTGCCTGTGAGAAACAAAAAAATCACTTTTTGGTGTTTTCTCAAGAGTCTAACCAGAGGTAAAGCACACAGTTTTTTAACAACAACAACAACAAAATGCACAAGGACAAAAAGCTACACTTAGGATATCTGTGCTAGATGCCCTGGATACCCAGGTTTGAGTAACTTCTGATTCAGGAGCTTAGTGCCAAAAAGCAATAGAGACTCTAGAGCTCAGACATAGAACACTTCATGAGGGCTTGCACCCTTCATGGCCCCACTAGTGCTTTAGCTTTTAGGCTCCTTTTTCATTTTCTGTTTACATCATCAAAGCAGAGCTTTATCATCCTTTGTTAAAAAAAGTATCAGATTCCCCCAAATGTTCTCCATACCCAATGTTGGGGATTAAATTAAGTTTAATTTATAAAATATTAGAAATAACTTGTGCAGGTTTAAGTTTAATTGTAATTTGTGTACAGCTTAGCATAAGTGGGCCCTGCTCAAAACTTAATATAGATGAATTTTAAATGAACTCTGTTTGTTAGCAGGAAAGGCCAAGCAGGGGAGTAAACAGAGAACACCTGGTTATCTTCAGATAAGGCTTAAGACCCTGGAAGGCCCCAAGGCTGGCCCAAGCTGGAAGAACAATTAATGGCCTGCCCACATGGACAGGGAGAAAGAATCCAATGAGGTGTTAGAAGACTTCAGACCATAAATTGCCATTGGACCATGAGGTGTATGCAGGGCACGTGAAGAGTAAGTGAAATCAGGTGCATAGACTGTGAGGGGATTACTTTGTCTGGGGTCCCTCTCTGGAGACACCCAGCTCAAGGTGCAATAAACCAACTCTGCCTCAGAACCCAGGGTCAGAAACTTTCCTTAACACCAGTGTGGGGCTTAGGCACCCAACCCCCAAATTAAGCTGCTGGAAACCATAGCTCAGCTGACTTTCACCCTGGAAAACTCTGCACCTAGTCCTGTTTGACTTCAAAGTCTGCCAAACCTGCAAAGATTTAATTCTATCTATGCTCACATTTTCAACCACGTGCTAAGTTTTTCACATGACTCAAGGAGATTTCTGTCTGTTCAAGGACTGGGGATTCTCTTATTAGAAGCAGAGATCTACATTAGAGCTTATCACCTAGGATCCCATTATAATTAACATGCAAGAAATACATACAAAGTACAGTTCTAAAACACCCTCAAGGCACCTCTTTTATCAAGCTGTAATGGCAGATCGAAGGGACTAACTTGGATGTGAGGTAAGCCCCATCCTGGGGATCCTTCCATCCCTGTTAGTATTGCCAGACCACACCTAAAGTATGTGGATCAGGATTACGCTCCTCACAGAAGTTGGTGCAGACCACGGCGGTGCTGGAGAACACCACTGGACCAAGGTCAAGGAAGGCTGTTGCAGTAGGAACTTACTTGTCAAGACCATTTGCCTAGAAAGTGGGAAACACAAGTTCGTTTCCACATTTTTATCTCACAACATTAAATGGTTGGCCAGAGGTTGATATGAGGAAGTTAAGGAGACAAATCGCCATCTCGCCTCCTGAAGCTCTTCAGTTGTACAGAAAAATAACCAAGACTATATTGGATTTAATTGAGTAGAAAAGGGTTACCTGACTGTTGCCTACTAGTTGGTAAAGAAGACATGGGGTTTGGCCTTTGTTCTTGGGATTTTTTGTACTTTTTAAGCAACATTTGTTACTATACCATATATAAACAGGTTGCGTATATGGCCCCTTCTTGGATGACTGCCACACCACTAGGTTGCATAGCTGACCTAATTGGTCTTTCCTCCACATCCTTAAACAGATAAAGCAATCTTTCTGATTTATACTGGTACATATGAGGAAAACTTCAAATTTTCAATTGCATATAAAACTTCTGTATGGCTCCCTGGATATTATCCAATCTGCCTTTTAGCTCCCATTCAAAATGACAACGCCACAAGTGCAGCCCGCCAGGGATCAATATTGGGCCCAATGCTGTTCAACATCTTTATAAGAGATCTGGGTGATGGGATCAAGTGTACCCTGACTGAGTTTGCCAATGATACCACACTGAGTGGGGAAGTGGGCACTTCAGAAGGGAGAGCCACCCTGCAGAAAGACCTGGATAGGCTGGAAGAGTGAGCGAACAAGAACCTTATGAAGTTCAAAAAGGACATGAGTAAGGTCTTGCACCTGAGAAAACATAGTCAAGGAACACAGCACAGGCTGGGATCTGCACGTCTGGGAAGCAGCTCTGTGGAAAGGGACCTGAAGGCCCTGGTGGACAGCAAGCTCAATATTGAGAGGATAGTGTGCTGCTGCTGCAGCAAAGAAAGCCAACGGGATACTGCACTGTATCAACAAGGGTATCATCACCAGAGATCAAGAAGCCATTATCCCACTGTACTCAGTGCTTGTCAGGCCACTCTTGGAATACTGTGCTCAGCTTTGGTCCCTGCTATGCAAGAAAAGATGTGGACAAGATGGAAAGGGTCCAGAGAGGGGCCACAAAGACGATCAGCGGACTGGGAAGCTTGTCACATGGGGAATGGTTGAGAGAACTGGGTTTGTTCAACCTTGAGAAAGGAATGCTTAAGGAAGACCTTATCACCACATTCCAGTATTTGAACGGTTGCTACAAAAAAGATGGAGACTCCCTTTTTACAAGTAGTCACATGGAAAAGATGTGGGATAAGTGGGTACAAATAACCCCTGGAGATTTCAATTGGACCTGAGGACAATTTTTCACAGTAAGAACAATTAGCCATTGAAATAATCACTCCATGGAAGTGGTGGATTCCCCAACATCAGACTTTTTTAAGATTTGCCTGTACAGGGTGCTGGGCCATCTTGTCTAGACCACGCTGTTTCTGAGAAAGACTGGACCAGATGCTCCTTGAGATCTCTTCCAACCTGGCATTCTATAATTCTATGGTATTTGTAGCACTTAAGAAGCTAACCCTAACATCCCATCAAAATCCAGTATTTAAAAAAACCTTACCATGTGAAAAAAACCTTACAAACACTGGTACTGCCAGACAAAGAAAAAAAGGAGATAGGCTTTTTTAGAATAAATTTCTGCACTTGCTGTTTTCCCCTTCCCTCTTTATTATTAAAATCTTTGCAGGAAACGCACTCCTCTATTCTTAATATTCTATGTTTCGAGAACCAAAGTAGTCACTCTCTGAAGTCTGTGGCTGCATATCCATGAATCACGGATCACTAACAATGAAATCAATCTGATTAGAGATCACTGGCAGCTCAGGGGGGAGGGCGTGAAATTGATGAAGAGGTTTAGATGTGGTGACTGCTGAGGACCATGAGAAAAGGGTTTTTTTCAGTAATCCAGGGAGGTAGAATTCAGTGAAAGAACCAAAGTACAATATCAGTACAGAAGAAAAATATTCTAGTTGTTATATACATTAAGAACACAAAGTAAACTTCAAGCCAAACAAGTGGAAGCTTCATTAGCTGCCAGGAAGGTGGTATAAGTAAATGGCATACCTACCTACCGAATCAGTACAATCACCCAAGAGAAATACACACCATGAATGTCTAATTCTTACGATTCTTGGAAAATTATTCAAATCTATGACAAGGGGGACTTTGTGAACTATGCACAATCCATTCAGAGACAAGAAAGCTGAAGTGAAATAGTTCTCTATATGAGAGAATGGGAAGTTAGTCACATAATTTGGCAAAGGACAAAAAGGATAAAGGGTATAAGAGTTATGGGGGTTTTTTTAATTCAAAGTAGTAAAGTGACAAAATAGTTTTCTAAGAGAATCTGTGGGAGCAACACCAGCAAGACAGCAAAACAAAAGCACAGATTTTTCCCAATTAGAGGTGTTTGAAGAAAAATTAAATACATCTTGGCTGCAAGCACAAAGGCATCCCATACTATCCCCAAGACTCTAGGCATGTCATTATGAAGGATCAAGCAATTCCTTTGGAGCCATTTTAAATTGGCAATGAAAACTACCATATCGGGACATAAAGTCCAGCCAAAGGTTTCTTTCTAAGTAAGGTGAGGTTTGGAGTGTCCCTGTGGTGCCTGTCCTACATGAGTTAGGTACATAATTCAAACCCAAAATCTCTCAGGAATCAGCCTTAGGCAGGTCTTTGATTCCTCCTGCACCCATACATAGTCAGGGTGCCTTTTCCAAATGCAGAAGGTTGGAAGGAAATTCTGCCAGCTGACATGAATATCTTGTGTCACTTGTTTTCCACTAACAGTATCTCAAGCCTGTCTTTGACACTGCCAGAATAACTTCAGGAGAGAAATGTGCAGTAAAAGGCAAAAGGCTGAAACTCTCTCTCAGTGAAGAGCCAACGCCAAATTTCCACAATATACCAGCAGGGCATATTAAATGCTTCTGCAATGCTTATTAAAGTAGGAGTGCACAGACAGCAACAAAATGCATTATTACAACACATTTTACACTGGTTGAGAGAGAAAAGAGCTGAATGCCACCATTAGCTTCATCTGACACAAGGTTGCTGCATGAGCTACATGCACCAAGAGGAACTCAAATTACAACTTCTGGCTTTCCTTTCTGCCTTTATCTTTGCAGTTGTCATTATGTGTGCCCTGTTGTTCAGGAAAAAGGTAATTTCTGCAGAGAACATTTTACTATCTTTACTTTAATACTTAAACTGGATTTCTCATTCCTTCACAGTAGAACTCCACCGTGAGGTCTGCCTGCTCTTTTGCAGCAGAGAAGCATAGGAATACAGTGTAGGAAAGGCACTTCTGGCAACAACCATGGTATTGTTCACCAGGAACAGTAAGCCCGATGAATAATTAACTTCTGTCTATATAGCCAGGCTCCATTTTCTTCACAGAACCTCACATCCTTCTTTCTTTTGGAGGCCTTTCAATCCTGTCTTCACTGTACCAAATAAGCAGAAACTAGAGTGGCATTATGGAGAAAACTAATACGAACCTGTTTTCGAGATAGGAGAAGCAGTGTCGACCCTACAGCAAACATGGACCCACTTAGTGTTATTTATTCAGACTATTTTTTTTCTGTCAAAGAGAAACATAAAGGCTCAGGGTTCCTTACTAAGCCCTTACTTGGGTCTCAAGGAAATCTTTGCCTTTAAAGAAAAGTTTGCATCATATATGAAGTCAAAACAGGAAAGTCTGTGATGCTGTAATTTACAGCCAGTGCGGTAGTTAAGATGTCAATCCAAAATCCAAGCACAAGGGTTTGTGAATTGCTGCTTTTGTAGGTCCTGAGAACTTGCTCAGCTTTAAAGGCAGTCTTTAGGGATGTTCATTATTTCCGGTACGGATCCTGCAGTTCTATGAACACTCACTCCCTTAAATTTAATTACTAGTATAGTCAAAGCATTATGTTAGTGCTTCTAAGACTGTGGGTTCTGATACGGTTTATGAGTCAAACTTCAGCCATCTGGACTTGAAAATATGCCTGAAAAGAGTCCAGAGAGCCCGCAAAAACCTCTTCTCAAGAGGAATCAAGATTGTACAGTGCTTGACACCTTCACGGAAAGCACCTTCTATCAAAACCTGAAGGTGCTTTCCTTCCCTATGGAATGATGCCCCTAATGAGCACCTCTGTCTTGTGCAATCCTTTTGCTGCATCTCTGGAATAAAGGCAGGCTTCACTCACTCCCAATTAACCCCACCTGCTCTACGGAAGCAGGGCAGAACTCTGCCAGGCCACAATAAGCCTGGGCACACATATTACAGAGCAATCATTGCACAGGAAAGTGTTTGTTCATTCAATTTCAGCACATGATTACTCTGGTTAGGAAAAGTGATTAAATAAAACTGCAGTTCACTCTCCTCTTCTGCCCCAGAGAAGCACCTTCTCTATATCTAAATAGGCTCTGATGCACAGTAAGAAACTTAAGGTTTACTTGTTCGAAAGATTTATGGATATAGGAAAGTACTTACTTTTGTGCAACAAAAGAAGGATCAAAGAACTCAGACGTAATCCTGTTTGCATACAGGGAACAACTAGTCATAGAGCACAACCCTGAAAAGCATAAGACAAACTATTCAGTGGAGCCAGCAGAAGAGCTTTGGGCCTGACCCTGAAGTCAACAAAGTCATGGAGAATTGTGCAAGGGTTTCTGTGGAAAAGAAACAGCTCTGGTATGACTTCAAATACACAAACTGAGAGAAATAAAGTATATTTACCAGAAAGTATGAAAATCAGTCCAGCTAAACAAGCTATTTTTGCTTTAGTTTGATCAGAGCCTCCGACTTTCGTACACTTCATCCCAACCAGTCCAAAAACGGCACCGAAGAAACCCAGGCAGACAGCGGAGATCATGAGTCCTCTGCAGGCTTGGATGTAACCTGTTGGGAGAAAGATAAAGGCTAATGTGAGAACTGGGACCACAATGGGTTTCACTATAGTTCCTCTGTGCAGCATTAGGCATTCACTATTGCAAATGGAATCAGACCTTAGCTGGAGTAATGTCACCTTCCCACTGAGTGTATTCTTTTGAGTGATGCCCTTCACAGGGCATCATCACCTCAGCCCAGCTTCTAAGGAACATACTGTGGCACTCAAGGCTCCAAAAAATAATCCCATGGCACTGTGTACAGTATCTCCAAGAGGTTGTACCCATGAAGCTTTGAAGAGCAACTTCACGTGGCCTTCTCAGGGGCTGTCACAGGTTGCAGGGCCACTCTATGCACACAAAGCCAGTTTCACGGGTCAGTCTTGTGCGTGCGTGTTGCAGATGCAATTGACTGTCAGTGGGTTGGCAGCAGGGACCCTGGCTGGGGTCCTGCCTGGACTTGCCACAGATTTGATTTGGATCCACCAAGGCAGCCTTCATTCCCCAAGGAAGTCGAACATGCTCAGCTCTATGGACACCAGTAGTTCTTCAGGATAAAGCAAATCACTGCCATATTTAAAACTGGACAAATGGCCTGTGGCTGGCTTCAGACACAAACAATTCTGCCTTGCTGCCTGAGGCTGCTCCGAGTGGGACCTCCCAGGGGAGGGCCCTTCAGCAGGACAATGGGTTGCTTGGCCTCTTCTCCCTTCCGAGAATATCTTGTAATTGAAAGACTGTGATAATTTCATATCACTGCTTACAGGGTGGAACGCTGCAATCTTACACAGCTGAATAACCATCACAAGATGTTTTTCTTCATAACCTGTTACATCTCATTTAAAACGAATATGAACTCCCACGATTAGGGTATTCATTCCTTTTGCTTTGATCTCCAGTGGGTGGAAATGTTGAGAGCTAAACCACATTGTCATTGCCTATTACACCAAATTTTACATAATAACAAATAAACAACCCCCCCCCCCAAACTCCAAGCCCTGCATAAAAGTCTTTAATAAGAAAATAATATATTAAAACAGAAACTAAAGGACATCTAATGTAAACAGAAGGCAGCAGATTCAAAACAAGAAGTGTGCTTTTTTGTATAAGGAAGCTGTGGAACTCCTTTCTACAGGATATCTGGATGCCAAAGATTTACAGAGATTCAAAAAGAGACTGGATACATTCACCACAGAGAAACCTGTGTCTGGCTGGCAGGTCCTTGAGATGCAGATGGCTACCACAGACACTTGGCTGCCCTCTGCTATCCTTACTGCTGCCCCCTTTAGCCACTGCTGGAGGCACATCAATTCCAGGATATCAACTCCGTGCTTGAACAACATTTAAAACCTCGCACTGATTCACAGATTTGTGCACAAAGCAATTTGTTGCACTTAACAACCCGTTTTATCAGGCCTACCGAACTTGGGAGCTGTGCTGTCCACCTACTGGCATTTATCTACACCTGCTGGCACACAGATGGACTTCCTCCATTTGTCACACGACTCACATGTCGGAATGTAAGAGAGAAAGAGTCAGTCATTTGTGCAAGAGCCAAGTTTGAAGAAAGCAGCCTTGCTTTGTTAATTTTTGCTATCGGCATGGACAAGTTGGCTTTTACTACAGTAGGTGGTGTTTAATATACTTCTTGTAGCAGACAGGTAAAGCACGAGACGAAGACTGGGAAGGAAGCTATTATTTTTGACAGGTCCAATTTATTGACACTGTTTGTAGCTAATTGACACATTAAAGTGCTGAACCATGAACATATTTACCCGGAGGTCCTCTAAACTTTTATTTATGTCTGAACCTCCTAAGAAAATCAGTAAATATTCACCCCAATCAAAATATACAGCATTTGCTAGTAACCACAGGGCTGAAAATCAGTTTTTCCTGAAGGTCAATACACAGTTTTAGAATAGGTAGAGGGTAGTGAGACAGCAAGAAATAATTAACTCACTCACTCAGAAATCATTTTCAATTATAAACAGCATGAGCTGAAGGACTGCTCAGTTCTGCTGAATGAATAACCTTCCTCACTAAATAATTCACCCAAGTGGGCAGGCCAGCCACAGTAGGGCTTGTTTCATTTCACCACAGCAATCAGCCAACTGGCACACATTTTTAAAACATGATATATATTAAAAAAATAATCACAATTTACACCAGTAATGTGGAAGAGCAGAAGGCTCTGTTAGTCCCACTAGGCTGACCGGAGCATCAGGAAGCATAAAAGGCTGAAATCAACTTTTTCACCAAATCCAGCCTCCTATTGCTCAGACCCTAGGTTCAAACTACGTATAGCATTTGGCTGTAAGAGGAACTAAACCTCTTTTTTGCTTCCAAGAAAGCAAGAAGATTATATTGCTCACTTAGACTTTTAAGCTTGTTCAGCCTGGAGAAGAGAAGGATCCAGGGAGACCTTATAGCAGCATTCCAGTACCAAAAGGGGGCCTACAGGAAAGCTGGAGAGGGACTTTGTACAAGAGCATGAAGTGACAGGACAAGGGGAAATGGGTTTAGACTGAAAGAGGGCAGGTTTAGATTAGATGTCAAGAAGAAATTATTTATTGTGAGGGTGGTGAGGCACTGGATCAGGTTGCCCAGAGAAACTGCAGATGCCCCATCCCTGGAGGTGCTGAAGATTGGATGTGGCTTTGAGCAACCTCTTCTAGTAGGAGGTGTCCCTGCCTGCGGCAGGGGGGTTGGAACTAGATGGTCTTTAATGTCCCTTTCAACTCAAACTATTCTGTGATTCTATAGTAATGCAGAAGAGTGTAAAAGGAAGCTGCCTATTTCTTCACACTCCTCCACTCAAGACCAAACCTGTCCCTTTTCCAAATGTTTATTGTCTGTATTTGCACCAGCTCCTGTAGGAAACTACAAACCACCCAAATGAAGCTTCAAGTGACAAAAAGCCATGCATTTTAAACAGACAAGCAGACAAACATGCATTACTCATAAAGTCATGTTTAGCAGCATTCCAAGAGAAACCTATTTCAAGGTGGTTTTTGTTAGGGGTTTTTTTGTTGTTTTTGCTGGTGGGTTTGTTGGGTTTTTTGTCTTAAACAAATGTGTTTTGTCTTGCATTCAAATTAATCTTGTTAGAGCTTCATCTTTCCTGCCTCACTGCTCTCATACTTGCCTCTCAGGCTTACAAAGAGTTAGGAGGCATTCACATATTCATATCATATGACACTATGGAAAAAAATATATGCAAAGTTCTGGGGACTGCCACTTTCACAACAAATGCCTCTGGTGGCATTTTGCAGTCTGCATCACGTGAAGGGTAAGAGGTTGCCTTACAGATACAGCATAGATTCCTTCCAAAAGCACACACCCACTGCTTTTGTCTGTCATTCTAAGCTCTAATACCCTCTTTTAGCTCATAAGTAAATTTTTGTTTAGCTCTGTTTTGCAAAAGGTCATCAGATCCACTGTTGGAAACATGGAAACTGATATGTCCTCTTTTGGGGAGGTGGTTTCATCAGTAAATTTCCACCTATGACCAGTGGCACAAAGAAGTAAACCCAAAATTACTGTAAGTCCCACAGAGAGGAACAATATTTTTGCTTGTACACAGAATGTGGGGCTGTGTAATTAATGAAGGCTGGTCAAATTGCATAAAGGTGGAAGGGAATCACATACAATTTTCTCTGGAAGCCGGTTGTGTGGAGTGAGGGCCTGAAAGCCATCAGGGCAGCCCTGCTGCTGTGCTATCCTACAGCAATCTGGGGAGCACAGTCCAAGCCCATTCCATGATGCAAAACAAAACAAGGATAAAGGGGAACCATCTCCTGAGCACTCCTGACCCGAACTATGACATTGCTTCTGAAGAAGAAAGGACCTCTGCTGTATTGCACAGGAGAACTCCAGCAATTGGCATAGAATAATAGAATCACAGAATGGCTTGGGTTGGAAGGGACCTTAAAGATCTAGTTCTTACCCCCGCCACCATAGGCAGGCACACCTCCTACCAGACCAGGTTGCTCAAAAGCATAGTGATATCCCAATTTTTTTCCCTCCTCGTTTTACCTCTAATCCCCTGGCAGATCTGAGCAGTCTCTCCAGACAAGAAGTACAGCAACACTCAGAGGTTTCTGATTTGACCAAAAAAACATTTCTGTAGAAGAGGAACTGCTCTGAGGCAAATCCTTTCCATTTGTGTGAGGAAGGAGTGGAGAAAAACCACATTTTCCTGGGACAACAAAAATATTACTAGTAATTTCCAGTCATGCCCTACCATTTTGAGGAGACCAACACTTTGTTGCTACATTTATCTTTATAGGGTTATTGTTTCTGCTCACAAACACTTCAATGAATACAGAAAACCAGATCTGCCCTTTTGTGTCTTCTGAGTCCCCCACCTGAGGATGGAGCCAGGAAGTTATCACATTCCCAATCACAGGGAATGGGATCCATCTTGGACATGTAAGTCTGTGCAAAGAGAAGAGGAGAGAAGGGAGAGGCTACTCAAGGGCTGAGGCAGATTCAGCTTTACGCTGACACACGAATTCTTTAAGCCATGAGTGACGCACTGCAAGCCTGAAGTACGTTCCTGCATGGGGGAAAGGTTAGGGTGAAGAGGGGACCTACACACCCATGGTCAGGTGCTAAAGGGTTCCCAGCAGAGCCTGTAAGCACAAGGAGGGGAATTTGGGCCAGGCTACTTGTGGAAAGCATCTCTGCCTGCGTGTAGCTGCCTCTCTGACCTGACCCAGCTTGCCCGGTCTGTGCTAGGGGGGTACATTCCTCTCTCTCCAGCCTGTCTTCCACTTGCATTGTGCCTGGGTACCAGGATCTGGCTCCATAGCATTCAGAGATGCTATTGAGAAACAACTGAAAGCCAAGAACTTTCTACTACTGATAAACAGTCTGGCCGGGAGGATGGCATAGGGCCCTTTCAATGTGCATCTAGAATTCACTTCTGTCCAAAATGAACTAATGACTCTCTCACAGTGCAGAAGGTGCCTCAGAAACTCATTCCTTGGCCAAGTGGAACATGCTACTCAACACACAATGTTTCAATGTACAAGCATTTGGAGGAAGGGGGGGGGTAAGGACTTTGCTATCAAGAGTATTTTTCTTTTTGAAATTTTAAATGTTCCCAATTCTGCTGACTTTGTAACTATGCTTTTCTTACCTTGAAGACAGATTAACCCAGACCTAGAAGAACAGCTAAGCAATAGATTTGGTGGATCCAAAAGGTTACGCACCAGCAATCACTCTGTGCCCACCTGCACACAGAACACAGCTCCTTGCCCAAGCCTGGAAACCACATTCTCAGCTGCTACACTTGGCCATAGAGTGACTGATGTCAATGGAGGCCAGCCAGCAATCCCACCCCTTCAGAGGAACTGGCAAATCCCTCTGCTACCTGAGGCTGGGTGTAAAGAAGATCTGAGGAACAGTACTTCTCCATCCAAGGGAAGCATCCTGCAACAGTGATGTTTAAGGATTGCCTGTGTTACCTTTTTCCAGTATCTTGACCTGTTTTAGGCCTTTCTACATACAGAGGTTAAAGGTTTTCTGATACTGGTATTAATTTCATGATCACATTAAACCCTGTTACAATAATAAGTTAGCGATTAAAAGGAAAAGAAGGACTGTTAATCTAAACAAAACTTTCACACCAAAATTCACGCTCAGATTCTAGTGCAAAGGGAGTGTCTGGCCAGACCATGAATCTGATCTTTTGTGAGTATGAAAGCCACTGGGACACTCTATATTGTATTCATTTATAACTATAGAAACTTGGAAAAGAAACCTTTCCTCCCTCTCTTTATAGTCACTCCTGAGGCTATAAACGGATGCCATCCACACATCTCCTTTTTCTACCAGCCATAATCAGTGTGGATTTATCAACTAAAAGTTTAGTTGCAAAGATTTTCCACAGTGAACCAATTTCCCAGTACAGCTTCTTTAAAGGGCAAAAATGTTCCCCCTTAAACAGAGAAGAAATGTAGCACCAACTCAAGTCTTTGGTTCCAAGCCCTATAGCAAAACTCAGATTTGCTTCAAAATAACACTGCCCTAAAACTGAGGCAAGCTATGCATCCCTTCTGCATACCTTTGCATCCCTGACTGCCCCGAGCTTTTACACTGTCATTTATCAATGAAGCAATTACATCCAAGTTAATAACCGCTTAGCATAACCAGCAAAAGAACATTAATTAAAACAAAACGACGCCAAGGCTTGTTCTTCTCCACTGACCGTTGCATGGCTGGCAAAACCATAAAAAAGAAGAATGTCATGACAGTCAGAAAATAAATCGGCAAGAAAAATTTGCCTGCATTTTTCTTGTGTCAAATCCACACGCACACTCTTGTGATGGAAGGAGGGGGAAAAAAGCAGGTAGGGACAGCAAAAGAGGCCAAAGCCGCCACTTAGGCACCAAACATACTTTCAATCAGGGGGTTTTGGGGGAAAAAAACCCCACTTGCACAGGTGTGCTCAAGCAGCACGCTGCCACCTGCCAGGGCACGCGAGGGCACTTGCCCACGAGCCCGCGTGGGAGCCGCTCCCGCCGGGGTTCCGCCGCCCCCGGCCCCGCTCGGCGCCCCGACCCCGCGCTGTCCGCCCGCCCCGCCGGCTCCGGGACCGGCCCGGGAGGATCCGCGGGGCCCCCAGCTCCCGCAGAGCAGCACAGGGGAAGGTGGGGAGGTGTCAGGGTGGGGGGCAGCGGGAGCCTGACCGTCCAGCGCCAGCATGGATGGGAAGTCCTTGCAGTTGGAGACGCCGGTGGAGTCGGTCACGCAGGTCTTCCAGAGGTTGGCCCAAAAGGTGGCGGTGGTGATGACCGTGCCGTCGATGGTGGACACCTTCCAATAGTCGGTGGGCAGCGTGGAGGAGACGAGCACCCAGCCCGAGATGGTCAGCAGGAACGCGATGATCTCCGCCGACGTGCTCGCCATGGGCCCGGCAGAAGCGGCGGGCAAGGGCCGGCGGGCAAGGGCGGCGCGGGGCCGCGACGGCAGCGGCGGAGTCCCGGCGGCGGCGGGCGGAGCGGAGCCAGCGGAGCCGGGGGGGGCGGGGGCGGCGGCCGCGGCCGCCCCGGGCCGCGCAGCCCAATCAGCACAGGGAGCTCCCGGCGCCCCCGGGGCCGCCCCCGCCCTGCCCGAGCCCCGGCAGCGCCCCGGGGTCCCTCCGTTGGAGCCCAGAGCGCTGCCCCTCGGGCGGACCCCGGCGGGGCGCGGGGCACTCCTCGGGGTGGCGATATAAACCAGACCCGAAAACAAACAAACAGCAACGCGACCTGTAATTTGGGTTTAGTTTCCCCGTCCCCTGCAGGTGCGCGTGCAGGGGACGGGACGGGACGGGACGGGACGGGGTGGCAGCAATGGGAGAGGTGCGGCCTCAGCGTCTCCTCAGTAGCTGCAGGTTTGCATCTCTTTCCGCATGCAGACGCCCCCCTGCCCCCCCCCCAAAAAAAACCAGCTCTGCCTGGGAAATGGTTTTGAGGAATTCTTGTACAGTACAGGTGTGCTGAACGGATAGAGTCCTCCGTACAAGGAGGTAAGCTTTTGAAACGCATAGCGAGGTATTTTAATCCTCCGAATTTAAGCTGGCCCTCTGTTATTACCCGGCTACAGACGATACAGCGTTTAATACCTGTTTTTGTAATTTGAGGTGATGAACTTGGGATTTTCTGCCTGAGTTTTAATGCACTGGCATTCGAGCCTAAATCTCACAGGTGTAGAGTTATCCACAGCGGTTTCACCTCCTGTTTGAAGCTGTTTACTTTCCACATCAGTAGTATATTTGCTATTGATGTGGAAAGTACACTGCCGGTCTTTACTTTCCTCCTATTTATTTCAAAACTATTGTTACATTTTCTAAACCTTTTTGCCAGATGGGCAATCATTGGAGGATAAGAAGCCACATTTGCATCATTATTCTTCTGATGAATGCTCTTTGGTTCTGCCGTACGGGCACAAACCCGGATGTAATCACTTACAGACATATATTTAAAAAAAAAAAATTAAAAAAGGAAAAAAACCCAGAGTTAGGTGTACCCTTGGGTGTGTGTCAGAACTCAATGGGAACAGGGTGTTTGTTGATCTGTTAATGCCCCAGCAGGATAAAAGGGGGTCCACAGACGCATTTACTGACGTAGTGGCTCTGCCTGCTCTCTGCCTCCTTGGTACCCTCCAACTTGCAGGTGACGCACAGAGGCATTGGCAGAGATGAGGGAGAGGGGAAAGCAGGCAGTAGGCTTGTTTGCACAGCAGCATTGGGTATGCAATATGCTACAGCTCTGTTCAACCTCTGTGCCAAGGTGCCTTCTCTCCTCAGGAGGGAAAAGAAAGAGAAAGGGTCATGAGGTGGGTGAGCCACTCTTTTTTGTGGTGTCAGAAGTAGCCAGAGCTCACTTTGGGACACAGGGAAGTGCTTCTGAGTTCAGCGAACAGGGACATGACTATAGATCCAAGTCACATCTCTCTGATATTACGATCTACTTATCATAGGGAATGGCAGCGATAAGAAAAAAGAAAAGAAAAAGATTTTTGAATATTTTCCTCCATCATGGCACTTTGAGATCTTGCAGACTGGAATTTTGGTGGTGGCGGTGGTAAACTAGGCCAATCCAAGCTATCAGCTGGGGTCTAATTGAGTCTGCGGTAGGAGTCTTGAGTCCAAGCCTGGGTCGTCATGCTTTCTTGACATGGGGAGCTCACCTGTTCTTTTATTGATAACACTGCTTTGGTTGGTGAATATAGGGTGTGGTGTCTGGGCAAATTTTGGTCAGGGCCCATCAGAAGTTTTTGGTGTGCTGCCGCACCACAACCAGAAGGCTGGAGTCAGTGTTGAAGGATAGAAAAACAGCCAGGATTCTTCTAGGCCTGAGTCTGAGCCCCAGGGAGGAAGAGGAGGAGGAAGAGGAGCTTCCTGACAAGCATAGGTATCCCTTCCCAGAGGGGCTATGGAAGCAGCAGGCTGGTGAGTAACCCTGCTAAAGGTGGGTAGCCCTGCTGAAGCTGCTGTAGACTCTGGCTGAGATGTCCAACAACCAGTTCTGCTGTCCCAGACCATGCTGCTTTCAACAGAGCTGGACTAGCTGCAACGTGCAGTATGGATCCATGGGTCTCTGATGGCCACCTATCTGCTGCCAGGGACTTCAAGGGGAGCCCCTGCAGGTGGCTTACGACAGATGAAGTTAATTCCACCTCAGACCCAGTCTCTGCCTGTCAGCAAGGACCTTTCAAGCGGGGCTAATTTATATGTTCATTCCCTTGTAAACCCTGTTTTATCCAGAATGATGTAAAGTGGCCTCAGCGTACATGAGAATCAGACTTGCTTCACGGAAAGGCTCCTCCTTTTTACTCTTGACACTTGCTTTTGAGGGTGTTTTATGTTACTAGTCCAGTTGTTACCATCTTTCTCATCTAAAATCAAAGCAAGATAAAACCAAAGCTTCTGATCTTATTTGTGGTGATGTAAACCCAAAATGACATAGTGCAGGGCTGAGCATTTGCCCCAGGTTGAAAAGTAGGGGAAGTTGCAAGAGATACTCTTCCCTGGTGGCATTTTGTTCGTGCTGGCTGGATCTGCAGAGGTTAGACATTGCAAAATATTCTTCTGTGAGGCTGTGTTTCTCCCCTTATCATGTGTTCAGCTTCTTTCTCTTATACAACTGCAAGTCCCTCTGTTGTGAACTTAACTCATACGTTTTTCAGGGAACAATGGGCCCTTTTCTCCCTGTTGTTGTGGTAGGAACTTAACATACCTATGAAGACATGCCTATATCTCCCTTCAACCTCTGTCTTCCTGCCATCATAGCTCTGGCTTTGGATTTGCTTACTTGGCTTTCTTAGCTATTTATATCTAATGTATTAGAATGAAAGACTTGGACTTTGCTTTTTTTTTTTTTTTTTTTTTTTTTTTTTTTTTTTTTTTTTTTTTTTTTTTTTTTTTTTTTTTTTTTTGTTGTTGTTTTTGTTTTGTTGTTTTGTTTTTTTTTTTTATTGTTCCTGTGTTTTGGGACAAGGTATGACTTGGGATTTTTTTTTTTAAGTTCCCCAGACCACTGTGGGACTGATTTCTGTTCTTTTCTGTACATAAGTTAATCATGTCATTGCAATAGCACAGGTTTGTGCTGGGTCATTTGAGTTTTATTCCCTTAGACCAGGTGAGAAAAGTGCTCATGTCTTTTTGTAAGAAAACCAACCCTTGTGGTTCATTTTTTGTGACAAGTTTCATTGACTCTTGGTCATAGAAACAGCATTTTGGGGGGAAATATTAGTGAGTGTTTACAATAGACTATTTCAGTTGGAAGGGACTTAGGTTGATCATCCAGTCCAACTGCCTGAGCAGTTCAGAGCTGACCAAAAGTTAAAGCACATTATTAAGGGTATATCCAAATGCCTCTTAAACACTGACAGGTTTGGGACATCAATCACCTCTCTTGGAAGCTTGTTCCAGGGTTTGACCACTCTCTCAGTAAAGAAGTGTTTCCTAATGTCCAGTCTAAACCTCACCTGGTGCAGCTTTGAACCATTCCCAGGGAGAAGAGACCAGCATATCCCTCTGCACTTCCCCTCCAAAAGAAGCTGCAAAGAGCAATGGGGTTGCCCCTCAGCCTCCTTTCCTCCAAACGACAAGCCCAGAGTCCTCAACCACTCCTCATAAGACATTCCTTCCGCCTTTTCACCAGCTGTTGCCTTCCTCTGGACACATTCAAGGACCTCAACACCTTCTGAAATTGTGGGGCCCAGCGCTGCTCACAGCACTCCGGGTGAGGCCACACCAATGCTAAAACAGTGGGATAATCACCTCTTTTCACTTGCTGCTTACACTGTGATGCACTCCAGGATGGGATTTGCCCTCCTGGCTGCCAGGACACACAGCTGACTCAGATTGATCCTGCTGCCAACCAGCACCACCAGATCCCTTTCTGCAGGGCTGCTCTGCAGCCACTGCTCTCTTGATTTGTACTTGTTCCCAGCATTACTCTATCCCAGGTGCAGAATCCAACATATGGGCTTGTTAAATTTCATCCCATTAATCATAGCTCAGTGCTTCAGTTTATCCAGATTACTCTGCAAGACCTTTTGTCCCACGAGAGTGTCAACAGCAATTCTCATTTTGGTATCATCAGCAAACTTGCTGATGGTGTGTTCAGGTCCTGCGTCCAAATGGTCGATAAATACATTGAACAGGTCTGGCCCCCAGGACTGAGCCCCCAGGAGCACTGCCAGTGACTGATCACCAGCCAGAAGTAGCCCCACTCACTACAAGCCTTTGAGCTCTGCCCCTCCGCCAGTTCTTCACCCAGCACACCATCAACCCATTCATCCCACTGCTGGATGAGTTGTGCAGAAGGGTGCTGTGATGGACAGTATGAAAAACTGACTGAAATACAGAAAAACTACATCCACCACCTTCCCTTCATCCACTGGGTGGGTGGCCTTATCATAGAAGGATATGAAATTAGTTAAACAGTACCTTCCTTTTGTGAGCCTGATAATTGCATTGTTCTTTAAATACCTTTCAATAGTATCCAGTGTGATCTTCTCTGTAACTTTTCCAGGAATTTAAGTTAAAGTTAGAATAACAGGTCTGTAGTTCCCTGGGTCTTCCCTCACAGCCTTCTTGTAGATTAGAGTAACACTGGGAGCTTTCAATCAGCAGAGTCCTCCCCAGACTCACCAGATTTTTTAACTACACACCTTTTACAAATCAGAATGGAATATTAATAAATAATTGGGTTTTTATAATGTACAAAAGTTTATTGTATTGTCATGTACAGAAGAGCCTTTCAGAAAGGGTTTTGCTTGCAATCTGAAATACAGGATATTATTTTAGCTCTTGCAGGATCAAAATCACAAAGCAATTGTTATTGCCTCATAAGTTAAACACCGGATGACAACAGCATTTGTTCTGCAGCCAGGTTAAGCAGGCTAGGGTCGTTATGCCTTTGTCCC